TGATGAAAGTGTATGTGTCCATGGGGCTTCCCTGGTGGCGCAGCGGTTGAGAGTCCGCCTGCCGATGCAGGCAATGTGGGTTCATGCCCCGGTCTGGGAAGATCCCACATGCCGCGGAGCGGCTGGGCCCGTGAACCATGGCCGCTGAGCCTGTGCTCCGCAACGGGAGAGGCCACAGCAGTGAGAGGCCTGCGTCCAAAAAAAAAAAAAAAAAAAAAAAAAAGAAGGTGTACGTGTCCTGCCTGTGCCTTCTGTAGAAGGACAGCCTGGTGCGTGATTGAGGGTCAAGCAGAGGGTTACTTAGGTTAGATAAGGCTCTGTTTATAAGGTACAGACTTCGCAAGGGTCTCGTGAGGACTACTAGAGATCATCGATGTATGTGAAGTGCAGGGTTTGGCACTCATTGCAAATACTCATAACCCCTGTTAAGCTGGATCCATCCAGAAGTTTCCAGGGGCCGGACCTTTAAAACGTCAGCCCTGATTCCTCTGCCAACAGCCCACGGGACTGTTCACACCAGGCCAGCCTCCCTGCACTTCCTGCCCGGTGTGTTCTCCCAGCAGGCGCGCTCGCCCGAGGGAAAACTTGTGGAAGGGCCTCCCCGGAGTCCAGGCAGAGACAGCTGTCTGGTGATTGTTGCATCGGTCCTCTTCAGACCCCATTCCTCACAGCGGCCGAGCCCCTGCTCAGAAAAGCTCCTGTCTCGTCTTGGTTTGGGAGGTGGGCAGGAAGGGGAGCCCTTCTCACACTGTCAGCTACTCTGGCAACCTCATCCGCACCCATCATTGCAGTGTCCTCTTAGACTCTGATGACTCCCAATCCTTTGTCCTCACCGGAACTCTCCGCTGAGTTCCATGCTTGGGTTTCTAACCGTCTGCTAGAGTCCCCTGCTGGATACCCCTCAGGTCCCTCAAAGACACATCCAAACCAGAAACCTTTTTCTCTTCCTGCTCCAGCCCCAGCCTGCTGCTTCTCCTGTTTTCTCCACTCTGGCCCATCACCTGGGTCCATTCAGCCTCAGAAATCTGGGAGTCCTCAAGGCCCCTCCCTCCCCCTCCTACGCGTCCAACTGGCGTCTCAGTTTGGGTCCTCTGCAGCTGCTCTCTAGGGTATCTCGAGTCTGTGCTTCCTCTCCGCTCTCGATGCTGCTAACTTTGATGCTTCTGTGTGTAGCAGCCTGACTGGCCTTCCTGCCTTTGTTTGCCTTTTCTTTCAGTTCATCTTTTGTAAGAGTGAACTTTCTAAACGTCAGTGCTGACATGGTCAGTCACCTCCTTAAAATTCTTCTTGTTGACTCCCTGCTGGTTGAAGGGGAGAGAAGTCATCCAGCTCTTTCCCGAGCTGCCTCTGTTTTTCTCCGGCCGAGTCTCTGCGACCCTTCACTCCTGCCACGTGTGCTTTCCTCAAAGTATCATGTTCCTTCTAGAGGGGTCTTGGTCTCTCCCCTTTGTATATGAACATCCTTCTGCAAAGAATGGCCTTCCACCCAAGCTCTCACTCATTCTTAAAGCCCAGCAGGCATGACACCCGTCAGAAAGCCTTCCCTGACCTCCCCTGGCCGACCGAAGCCCTTCTTCCACCGTTATTCTAGAGGCCTTGTGATTTCTCCCTTGGCATAAGGAGTTAAGAGTTGTCAGGCCCCCGTTCAGTTCTGCACCGACAGCTCAGGTGTTGCCCCTGATTTATCCACCTGTTGTGTGCATTTTTCTGTCCTCCTCCTCAAGTTTTTGAGCCACGTTGGGATTCTTCCTGTGTCTACTGTGCACTTCCCAGCGGCTTGGCCTGTGTTCCAACAACACCAGCAAATGTGTGGTGAGGGCACCCCCCATGTCACTCGATGGCCCATGTTTTTAGAAGAACACAGTGTGGCACGTAAGGAGTATTGAGGGAAGTTCTGTAATTAGAAGATGGAGAGACCATTTTTTAGGTGGAATCATTGGGGGCACACTTGTGGAGGGTGTCAGGCCACCTTGGAGACTGATGGGGTTAAATAAACCAAAGGTAATTAGACAGTCACACTTGCAGAGGAGGGAGGACCTAAATACCCCTGTACTCCAAAGCCAGAGAGAGAACTTCTGGATTTTTTTTTTTTTTAAGTTTTTTAAAATAATGCCACTGGGTGAATCTAAACCCATCAGCTCCAGTTGAGCCTGTGCTGGTAAGACCCTGGAGGCCTTCTGTATTTTAATTCATTAAGCCATGAGTGCCAAGTGAGAGGCACACTGATTCTCACCTACTAATAGTCTGCTGCAGGGCTCGGAGCAGAGCGGCGGCTGGCCGGGCACGGGCAGCCCAGAGATGTTACTGCTCCCGCAGGTTTACCAGGCACAGGAGGTCCAAGTGGACGTGGCGAGCGTGAACCTTGACCAGGTTGCCAGTCAGCAGACAGCAGCTGGGAAGATCAGGGTGAAGAGCAGGCTGTCTGAAAGAGGTCTTTCTGCCCTGGTTGCCTTAGGTTTCTTCCAAGACCAGCGTGAAGCCTAGCCCAGCAGCGAGTCTCAGGGCACCTTTCACGGGATGACCCCGTGGGGCAGAGCTGGTTCAATTTCCTTCCAAAGTGGCAAATTCACTCCTCAGCCATTGGTGGCAAGTTTCGGTGAAAACATCCTGACTACAGAAGTCATTTCCTCCTGTTGGACGGAGACTGGGAAGTTACCTTAAGAAAGAACCGGTCAGTTCCTCCTTCTGGCTTGAAATGGCTGGTCCCTGTGGGCTTTGGAGGCTGGGGAGAACTCAGGGTAACTTGGGAAGAAAGAGGCACTTGACAGTCTCTTTAGGGCAGACCTCCTGCTAGAACAGTCTTGGGTTTTCTGTTTTAATTTATGCAAGAGGAAACCAAACTTTCGGGCACATAGTGAAGTAACGGCTGCTATTTCTGCCCCTTTGCCCCACAATGTTTCCAGAAGCCTTGCAAATGGCTTATAAAGTGTACATTAAAAAGCCCAGTCAAGCCCCACTCAGACGATGCACTGGCCACTTTCATGATGTTTGGGGGGAGGCGGGGAAGCCCTGGGAGGATGTGCCGCCGGGCAGGAAGGCCCCTTCTCCTGGGGGTCCCAGCCCAGCCCGGCTTCTCTGCTGGGACCCCTGGTGCCAGTAGCCTGAGTGCTCTGTGAACACTGGATCCTTCTCTGGTTTGTTTCTCATGTTGCCTCTGAGGCGGTGTGAGCACGTTCGTGTGTTTTTCCATCCTTCTCTTCCCGTCTTTCTCTTGACTCCGGGATTTCCCACGTAAAGTTCACAGACGTTGGGGCTTTGTTCTGCCCGCTTCTGTCCCCTGAAACTATGGCAGAATCCAGTGCTTGGGAACGGAGGCACCACTTTCCCCAGTTAAGAGGTCAGTGCCCATCAACAGACACTCCAGTAGCAAAGGACCAGCAAGAGTGAGTGGACGGGCCCTCGTCACAGGCTGGCCACTGGCTCTGTTCCTACCTGGTCACTGCACTTCCTTACCTTGGTTGGGGGCACAGTTGTTGGATTTCAAAACGAGGGGTGGCTGTTCACCTTTCCCCAGCACCCCCTGCCCGGAAGGTTTGAACTGCCCTCCCCTTTGGCGGCTTTGTGGGCCATCACTCCCTACCCAGAGCGCTGCCTGCTGCTTGATTCCACTTGGTGTTTGGAAGAGAAGGTGGGCTGTTTGTAAAGTAAGGTGGATCCAAGCGTAACTAGGTAGGAAATGAGCACAAACTGTGCTCACAGGGTGCACTGGGTGTGCATACAGAAGCAGCAGCACTGGCTGGGGACTGAGCGCACTGCTGCTTCCTCTCGAGCTGGACACGCCTCAGGACAGAGCCCACTGTGCTTTCCAATGCCTCGCTGCCTGGGGAGAAGAGGCTCTGGGGGTGGCGCTGTCAGGGCCAGCGCCCAGGGCAGCAAGGCCGAAAGCATCCCTGGAATCATGTTCCCCTCCCGAGCGTCCCCACGGCAGGCCTGGACACTGTGTTGGCTCTGGGAGGCAAGAGCTCTGGTTTCTTGAGCCCAAAAAGGCTTTGATCCTGGGGGGCTCAGACCTTTGCTGTCCGGGGTCCGCCCTAGCCCCGGATGCTCTGAGAGAGCTGGCGCACTGTGCTCCAGAGAGGCGGGCCAGGCCTGGTGGGCGGTTGTCCCAGGCACGCCTCCCTGTGGCCCTGTCTCTCCCCAGGCAGCCAACGGCAGAAGCGATGAGAGTACACTGCCTGCCACCTTTCCTGCTGCAGGGTGCCCACGGGTGGTCCCTTGACTGTAACGTGGCCACCCAGGGTCACAGTCGGTATTAAGTGTCCCTGCTGCACAGCCAGGGACTGGGGTTGCCAGGAAGCTGGGGGACACAGGCCTTATCTCTAACGACCACTCCTGGAGCAAAAGTTAACACATAGCAGAGTACAAACAGGCATATATAATCTAGGACAGATAGGTGGCATGACTCATAATAAACAGCAGAACTGTTTCCAGAGGAGGATGGGTGAAGAGCAGTGCTCCTCAGACTGTGGTCCCTGGACCAGCAGGAAGCATCTCTGGGAGTCTGTTAACAATGTCCATTCTCAGGCCCCACCCCAGACCCCCGGAATCAAAAACACTAGGGGTGGGGCCCAGCTGTCTGTGTGTTAACACAGCCCCCGGTGATTCTGATGTTCACAGAAGTCTGGGGACCCCGAGCTTAGACGTGGGTTGTCGTTACAGCCCCTCTGTCCCGTCGGCCACGTGGACTCCTCTCTGAAGGGCAGAGGCAGCTAATACTTCTGGAGCATTTGCCGTCTCTTTTTTTTTTTTCTTGCGTTATGTGGGCCTCTCACTGTTGTGGCCTCTCCCATTTGCGGAGCACAGGCTCCGGACGCGCAGGCTCAGCGGCCATGGCTCACGGGCCCAGCTGCTCTGCGGCATGTGGGATTCTCCCGGACCGGGCCACGAACCCGTGTCCCCTGCATCGGCAGGCGGACCCTCAAGCACTGCGCCACCAGGGAAGCCCTGCCGTCTCTTAAGTACCACTCCAAGTCCTTTACCTGCATCACCTCGTCCCGTGCTCACAACACCTGGAGTGCGTTATGTCGCTCTCGCCATTTTGCCAGGTCCTAGAAGTAGACACAGTCCAGCGGGAGACCTGGGACCCTAGGCCAGTCACCGACCCCACCGTGCCTCAGTTTCCTTGTCAGTTAAATGGGTGGCAGGGCCGTGCTAGCTCTCTCACAAGGTGGCTATGAGGGTGATGTGGCTGAGTAAACTCTGAATGTGCTTTCCAAGGTTAGAAGTAGTTTTAAATGTGACTTAGGAGATGGTGGCGTTTTGTCACGGTGCCCCTGGGGTGTCCCTCACGGTGCTGCCCGGTGCCCTGGAGCAGGAGTGTGTCGGGGTCTGGCTGTGCTCCAGGGACAGGGTCTCTACGCAGGGTGTTTGGAAGGGGCGGGAGAGGGCGCCCAGGGTTCTGGGCTGCAGTGCAGGGGCAGGGCAGGAAGCAAGGGAGCCATAAACCAGACTGGAGGCTCTGTGTGTTGGCGGGAGGCTCCTGTAGCTGGGAGCCCCCTCGCCGGGCCACGTAGCTCAGGGTCTGGTAGAGGTGGTCGATGCTCTCCCTGCAGAACTCTACTACGACCGCGGGAACCACCACGAGTTCGTGTCCCTGGTGAAGGACCTGGCCCGGCCCGGAGAGGTCACCCAGTCGCAGGCCTTCGACTTTGAGTTCACCCACGTGGAGAAGCCCTATGAGTCCTACACTGGGCAGAACGTGAAGCTGCGGTAAGTGGCGCCCCCAGGGTGCCCCGCGTGGACGGGCCCTGACTCTGTCCCGTTTCTGAGGCTCTGTGTGGCTGTAGGGAAGGTGTGCTGCGGGGTGGGGGTGGGGGGTGTGCAGTGGGCTTCCCTCCAGGAGGAGTGCTCCTGGCTTGTCTGTCCGTTTCTGGAGTGTCGGTATCCCCACCGTGGCCACTATTTGAGCCACTGACCCAGCACCCCTGAGTGCAGAGTTGAGAGGTGTGCACCTGCCCCTCAGCAGCACGCTGCTGCACAGACACCAAACGTCACCACCACCACCCCCGGCCCAGGAGCAGAGAGGACTGTGACACACCAGAATAGCTAGGATATTACCTTTGTTCTTAATATAATTCATTTGATTGCAGGTGTCTATAATTTAATTTTAAATGTTGTGATTAACAGCTGATTCTGAAAGTTCCCAAAAGTTGGACACTCGGCTTTCACACACCCCTGGCTGGGCCTCAGGGCCACTGATCCTCATCCAGCTCTGCACGAGATGGTGGCGGGGTCCTGAGCTCTGTCACTTGAGAAGTGGGTCATAGATTTGGATTCTAATCCTAGACCCGTCCTCTCCATATTTTGGGACAATGAGGGAGTAAAACGTACCACAGTAGGACAAATTTTAAAACATTAATACACAACCTTTTAAGTACATGGGATTGTTTTCCTTGTTCCGGTCTTGGAAACTCTGCAGGTGGGGACTGATTCCATGGCCTCCGGGGTATGTGATGTCACTCTGGATGTCTGGCTCCAGGTCTTGGGTGTCACCTGAGGCCTGCATGTGGCATGGTGTGGGCTACTGCAAGCTCTCCCCTCTCCCGTCAGAAGAGGGGCTGCAGGCTCTCCTTTTCAGCCTGTGCAGAGAGGTCTAAGCACTGGTGCTGCCCCACTTCAGCAGCGTTGCGTGACTGCACTCAGAAGGCAGCAACAGCGAGGAGTATCTAGTCATCACTTAAGCTGGGCTTGGGGCTTATTGCTATTTAATTTGATGTTTTGCAGTGCACTTCTCATGAATGTTCTTACATCAGAAAGAAAGGTGTTGAAAACAGTATGGTGCTTCTTCCAAATAGAATTACCATATGATTCATCAATTCCACTTCTGTGTATAAATCCCAGAGAAGTGAAAGCAAGCACTCAGACAGATTTGTGTATACTCACATTTGTAGCAGCATTATTCACAGTAGTCAAAAAGTGGTTACAACCCAAGTGTCTATGAGTAGATGAGTGGATGAACAACGTGTATCCACACAGTGGAATAGTATTCAGCCTTGAAAAGGGGGAGATCCCGACACCTGCTACGGCATGGATGAGCCTTGAGAACATTGTTCTCAGTGACATAAGCCAGATACAAAGAGACAAATACTCATTCCACTTTTTTAAGCAGTTATATAGTCAAAATCATAGAGGTAGAAAATAGAATGGTGGTTGCCAGGGGCTGGGGAAAGGGGCTGGGGAGTTAGTGGTTGATGGGGCAGAGTTTCAGTTGGGGAAGGTGAACACGTGGAGATGGACAGTGGTGAACACTGCCCAGCACCTTGAGTGTACTTAATGCCACTGAACAGTGCACGTAAAAATGGTTACATTGTGTTATATATATTGGAGGGGAGGAAAAAACTTTTCCCTCCACCATGTCAGGTTCATTGGTGGGGGCTCTGCAAATCGGATGGATGGAAGACGGATTGGCCAGAGGCAAGCAAGCAGGTGTATTCCCGTGTGCATTGTGCCCCCACCTAAGCTCTGCCCGGTGACTGAGGGGCAGTTGAACTTGGGCTTATGCAGCATCTTAACAGAGAAGTGAAGAGGCAGAGAAGGGGCCCTGCGGCTCGAGTTGTGGGAAGCACGGGGAGAGGCTTGCTTTGGTGAGGAACGCTCTGTGGGTGGCACTCCCAGCAGCTCCCAGGCTGCGCAGCCTCTCCTGGTGGAGAGGGCCCCGGAGTCTGTCTTGTGTGCACTGTTTCTCTGTTGCTTTCAGCTCAATAGAATCCTCGTGCCAGAGTGGCATGTTTTGGGGTGCATGCTCTGCACCCTGTGTTTTGTATTTTATCACAATGAAAGAAAAGTGTTACTGTCTAAATTAGACAAAGACTTTTGGATTCATGCTGAGAAAGGAGGTAAAATCGGGAATATTAGTTAGTGGAAGATGTAAGTTCCAGATTAAGGGCTTGTGTCTTATTACAGGCAGAGGGGAAACACGAAAAGATTATTTTGGGTTCCTTTTCCTTTGTTTTTAGGCAGAGCGGTGGTTCTGTTAGAAGATTGAAGTCACTATGTCATATTTGATGGGTGGGTGGAGTGTTGGATCAAGGCTGTGGGAAGGCTTGTGTGAGGTCCTGAGTTTTCCTTTAGTGGACACCATGGGAACAGGCAGAAAACAAGGAATTTAATAGACGCCAGCAGAATTGACCATTGAGTGGAGATGCAGACATCGGGCCATCAGGCGGAGGAGATGACCTGTGAGGCGATTCATCCAGTTCCAGAGGAGTTGGAAGCACTGGCAGAACAGACAAGTGGAAATGCAAGCCTGTCTCTCAGGGCAGAGGAATGCACTGTCGGAAATCTCCTGCTCAGAGGTGGTAACTGATAGGTTTTTCCAGGAGGGGAGCTCTGGGAGAGGAGAGCCTGGGACCTACTGGGACTCTTGGGGACCCTACTGGGCTTTTGGGGACGGAGGAGGAGTGGGTTGATGCTTGAATGGGAAGGGAGTGTTTTATGCTCTAATGCAGAGCTGATGCCAAAAAAAAAGCCGCTGGACTTGGCAGCTGTGAGCCTTGTGCTCCCTTTGGGAGGGCAGCTCCTGTTGGGTGGTAGAGACGGAAGCTGGGGTGAGGCATAGGGCTTGGGGATGAAGCCGCAGGGTTAGAACAGGACCCCCGGACAGCTGTTTCTGAGGAAAGGTACAGTGTGGTCCCTGGGGAGTGTCCTGGGGATTGATGGCTTTGGGACTTCTCATAAACTCAGGAAGGAGCTTTAGCTGGAGAGAGATTGGATGTGTTGAGAAAGTTGGGAAGTTGAAGCATCGATGCCCGACGCAGTGGTTCTCCACCAGGGTCCTGTGTTAGGGGGGGGGGGGGTTAAAAATATAGATCCCCATGTCCCTCTCCAGAGCAATCATGTGGCAGACGCGCCCCGGGGTGAGTCCCCTGCGCCTCCAGACTGCTGGCGCAGGAGAGGCGCTCGAGCAGCTGCAAGCTTTGTGGAGCCTTCCCTCCTACGCTGCTGCCAGGCCCCGCTCCACAGGGCGTGGGGGCTTGAGGGCCTGAGCCGTAGGGCAGGCTGGAGCCACGTCTGGGGCTGCGTGGAGGGAGCAGGAAGGAGAGGGTGGCCGGGGGGTGGTGAGGCCGCAGAGGAGGGCTACCAAGGTCCCCACCAAGGCCTACCGTCCCAGCTTTGTTAGAGGGCCACACAGAGTTAAGTCAAGGGGACGAGGGGTGCGGGGGGCGCCACGCTGAAGGGCTGGCTGGCGGTCAGGCATGGCTCACTGCCTTTCAGCGCCGTGTCTCTCCCTCTTTCTAACGTGTCCCAGGACCCTAGGCTCAGCCGGAGACCATCCTTGTTCAGACCTGGGGCTCTCCCACCTCTTGCTTTAGTTCTAAGGCCTGCTCCTCCTGAAGGCATCCCTCTCTCCCCACAGCACTTGATTCCTGCCTCTGAATGGACACTTTCCATGTGTTCTAATTTTTCTGTTGATTTGCCTGTCTCCCCCAGGGGACGATGAGTCCCTGTGAGACTCCATCTTATCCGTCCTAGGCCCGGCAATAAACGTGCGCGATGCATCGCTGACCTGATTTCTCCATTATCTTATTCCTGTTGTTTAACTGTGAGGGACTTGAAAAATGCTCTTCGATCAAATATTGTTAAATAAACAGCATGCAAACATAAGAGTATACGATCCCTGTGCCCAAAGAGCCGGGAGTTAGTTGAAGAAATGGAAGCTGTACACAGTGCCTGGCAGGTGGCAGTGAGGCTGCTCTTGAGGTGCAGAGAGAGGCGTCACCTCTTACCTTGGAGCTCAGGCTCAGAGGAGGGTTGGGGTAAAGACCTTTGATCTCCCTGGAATTGTAATTGCAGGATTTTGTGTCTCAGTGCATTTTCCTGGGAAGGGGGTGCCCAGCGGTGAATTCTCAGAGCAGTCAGAGCCCCAGGGGGTGACCTCTACCAGGGGTCCTCTGCGGGGTGGGCTCTGGAGGCTGGGAGCGGCCCTTCACCGCACGTCTGCATCCCTCAGGTATTTCCTTCGCGCCACCATCAGCCGCCGCCTCAACGATGTTGTCAAGGAGATGGACATCGTGGTCCACACGCTGAGCACGTACCCGGAGCTGAACTCCTCCATCAAGATGGAGGTTGGGATCGAGGACTGTCTGCACATCGAGTTTGAGTACAACAAATCCAAGTGAGTGTCGGGCCCGGCTGGTTGGTGGTGACCTGCGGGGGCGGCCACAGAAATAACGCGGTGGATGTGTGCGCAGGCCGGCCGAGGTCGCAGGTCAGGAAAGAGCTACATCTCACTGCAGCTGAACTGTACTAACTTAAGAGGGCAAACTTCAGTTAAACATCCTATGAGGTCTTTCAAAGTCAAGCGAAACTAACTTTAAAGTATTTGTTTTGGATTCTAGGTACATCTGTTTCCTTCTACTGATGAGATTAATCTCAGAATACCATTCTATTATCATTCGTATCCTGTATACAGTGAGTCTTTAGAAACCAAAGTGAGGAAAGCCAAGTTGACTGCTTCCTCCTTGAATTAAAATGAATTGTAACAAAGAATATCTGATGCCTTTTTATAAAGGTCTTTAAGTAATTTTATTTTAACTGGCCATATGTTTTAAACTGTGCCTGCTATTACAACATCCAGATACGTAAGTGCTTGTAAATCACAAAACTTACTGACAGTTCAAAAATGTACTGCAAGCAGCTTTCTTTTTAATATGATACATTCCTGAAAGTGTTCGAGAATCAGATATGCAAAAGTAAACGTGTCTTCTATTCACAGAGAACTAACCCTGCCCCCTGCGAGTCTCTAATGAGGCTCCTCCCCGTGGGGAGGCCTCACCTCAGACCCGCTGGCCTCCAGAGGCTCGGAGGGTGGAGGCCTGAGCAGCGGCTCTCCCGTGAAGGGCTGGGAACACACGTGCTTCCCAGGACAGGGGGAGGGAAGGCTGTTTCCCTCCTGGCCTGGCCTGGCCTGGCCTGGTGCTGAGCGTGGCCCCGATGGGCCCCTACAGGACAGGCAGGGCGAGTCTGGAGCAGGCCCCTGCGCTTCCTCCTCATGGTCTTGGGGCTCACGGGCCCTCCTGAGACAGAGCCCCCCAAAGTGCCTGCCCACCAGCGCCCCAGCCTCCTAGTGAAGGGGGCGCCACCTCGAAGGCGCTCAAGCAGCCGCAGCCAGCAGTGCAGTCAAGACCAAGGTGAGCGTGAGACAGGTGTGTCTGTCACAGACTGGACGGGCTGGACCGGATCCTGCCCTTGCAGAGCAGGCTGCCCTGTGAGTGCCAGGCCGTCTGAACAGACAGGAAGAGCCCGGACCTTAGGACAGCGTCCCGTTCTGCCACTAAGGACTTGGGCTCAGGTTAGCAGGTACTAAGACTTCTGTACCTGGGGTTTCTCATCTGAAAAATGAGGGGTTTGGTCAGGTCAGTGGAAAGGTGCCGTGAAGGAGGAGCGGGGCCCGGGCACCACGCGCGGCTCCTTTGTGTTTCTTGTGTGTAAGATTTCATTTAGAACAAAGGAACGTTCGATCTTTAAACGTTTGAATGCCCAGAGAATCTGTGCTCTGAGCATTCCTTCTAACACGCTGCAAGCAGCAGAGCCCTGCTCTCCTCAGTCCTTGTGCGTCGCCATCTCCCCAGGCAGCCTGAAGGCAGAAAGGCGGCGTGAAGTGGAGGGGAGAGCCCGGGCCTGCAGGTTGGGAACCTGGGTCCACACCCGCGTCTACCCCTCCTCGGGTCCCACCACGTCGCCTGTCTTTGCGCTCCCTGGGGCTCCTGCCCTGTGATCCGGGAGCTCGAGCCCTCGGGTCCCCCGCCCTGAGCTTCAGGTTGAAGGCTTGCCTTCTGCGGCCACACCTGGTCCAGAGCGGCCCTGCTGCCGGCTGGCCCCGGGGGGAAGGCCCAGTTCCTGGGAGCGGGAGCAAGAGCCGGGACCTGGTCCCCGCACTCGCGGGCCAGCCTCTCACACCAGAGCCTCTAAAACACACGCGCTCGTTAAAGCGCTGAGCAGAGGGTGACGGAACCGCGCTCTGAGGTGCAGGCGGGACAGCAGAGGGGAAGTGACGCAGGTTCAAGTGTAGAAGGTCGTTGGGACTCGCCCTGCGGGGCAGCTTGGGGGGCAGCGCCCTCTCCTGGAAGCAGGAGGCCTGTCACGTGCGGGGCCGCACCTCTCACCTTCCTCTCCGCAGGTACCACTTGAAAGATGTCATTGTGGGGAAGATCTACTTCCTGCTGGTGAGGATCAAGATCAAGCACATGGAGATAGACATCATCAAGCGGGAAACGACAGGCACGGGCCCCAATGTGTACCACGAGAACGACACCATTGCCAAGTACGAGATCATGGACGGCGCGCCCGTGAGAGGTGAGCTCTGGCCCCGTGGCCTCGGCCCGGCCCCAGTGTTGGAGGGGCTTCAGGGATCATCCTGTCAAAGTTAGGGGGCCTGGCAACCCGTAATTTCTTAATCTCTAACTGTGCACTGTGGGTCCCGAGAAGGAGGAAAAGGAGGCCGGGGGTGTGGAGCTCAGGCCCCGCTCACCTCCACCCAGCAGACGTCCGAGTGGACCTCGTTTATAGACTGAGTTTGTACTGCAGTTTAAATCTCAAGAGTTATGTCTTAAAAAAACAAAAGACGTTTGAAAAGCGCCAGTTTAGCAGATACAGTTTGAACGCTCTGTTTACACTTTCCTATTGATGTTCTGAATTTCTTTGCTGGGGGGGGAGGGGGCAAGAGATTAAAGCAGAATCCTCACTTCTGTTACTTAGTTCAGTTCCCCTTCAGGTAAAAACGAGTCATGCTCTGAATTTTTTCGCCAAGTCCAGACACCCTGACTGACACTTCTAGTGCTGCACACAGTGCCGGCGTGACCTCTGGGATGAGTGGAGCTGAGAGCTGGGTGGGAAGTTGTGTGATTGTTGGGAGGAGCAGTCATGTATGTTCTTTGTTGGCTCTGCAGCAGTTGATGATGAAGTGTTTTCACGTAGCAGTGCTTGGTGCTGCTGAGGTTTCATTCAGTTTTTTCCCAGTCTGCTCCACATGGAAGGAGGGGTGTCATAGCTTTCTCAGGCCCTCGGGCGTCACGAGCGGGGTCCTCAGGGCAGGGCTGAGCCATCTGCCTGCTTGTTCCGTGTTTCCCCAGCCGAGCAGTTGGGCTGAGCTCACCCTCCCTGTGGCACTGACAGGACACCGAGACAAGCACAGAACAGTGCGAAGTGAAACAGGGTTCGTGTTTGGCTTTAGGCTGCACTGTAGGTTTGGACTTTCTCAGCAGAATTCTGCCCTGATTTTGTTCCACTTATCTTAGGAGAGGCACAGTGTTAGAGCTGGAAGGGATCTAAAATATTATGTAGCCTGATATCATAATTTTCCCCATGAGAAAATGAAAGTCCACGGAAAGCACCAGACTTACTCAGAGTCATACCTCGGGTCAGTGGAGAGAACTGGGTCCAGAGAGAAGCTTTTCTGTTTTCCAGACCACCACACTCTGCCAACTCATCTCAGAGGGGAGGCATACGGGATGGGGGCTATGCTAATTGGGGTGGAGGGAGGTGGCATCAGAATTGCTGGGTGACATGGTGAGTTAGCTGGGGTTTGACAATGGCTCTTAAACCCAACAACTCTACACACTAAACGAGTCAGAAGATGCTTACCTAGCATTCTTGTGCTGTTCACACTCACCAGGCAGCGGCAGGCGCCTCCCTGAAGGCGGAAGCGTTGGCTTGGGTGTCCAACGCCCCCCTCGGGCAGCCCCTCCACCGCGGTGTATGGTGGGGCCCCTGCCCCCGCCCTGACTCGCGCCCGTCGTTGCAGGAGAGTCCATCCCCATCCGCCTCTTCCTGGCGGGCTACGAGCTCACGCCCACCATGCGGGACATCAACAAGAAGTTCTCTGTGCGCTACTACCTCAACCTGGTGCTCATCGACGAGGAGGAGCGGCGCTACTTCAAGCAGCAGGTGAGCCGGCCGCCCCGACAGAGCCAGAGGGCGTCGTCCCCGCCCAGGGCCAGCAGACGGGACGGGGATGGGGGGCGAGCTGCTTAGTCTCTGTGCCACTTAGTTTACCCCGAGCCCCACAGCGAGGACGGGGGTTCCCAGTTGACACCCAGAGTCTGCTTTCTCGGGCTCAGCCCCTGCGGCTACTCTGCCCTCCCGGCCACACTGTCAGCAGGCACCCGGGGCCCAGAGGTGTGGACGGCTGCTGTCATTGGTGAGGTATGAGCGGAGGCTTTTGCCTAAGAATCCCGGGAGAAGGCAGAGCCTCTGGGACCCTCCCCAGGCCTCCCTCTCACGTGTCGCCTGCCCCCCCCCCCGCCCGCCCATCCTGCA